GCTCCTGTTGGGTGTCTTGGCTTAGTTTAGCTCCAGTTAGCGCTCTGGTTCCTGTTAGCACTTTTGAGCTCCAGACAGGACTTATTAGCTGCTGATGGCAACTGTTAGCATGCATTTAGCTTGTTAATTAGCACCTGGAACCTCTACAAAGTAAAACTGAGTACAAAGAGTCATTTTATTAAAACTACATCCACTGAAAACCCACCCAGAGCAGGTGTCGTGGTGTCCGACTCACCTGGCCATCTGCAGGATGTCCAGCAGCAGCTCCTTGTGGTTCTGGTCCTCCTCCGGCTTGCCGGTGTAAAGCCGGAAGGACGGCTGCTGGAAGAACGGCAGAGCTTTGGCCAGCGCTCGCAGCTCGATCAGGTACAGGAAGTAAAGGTTACGGAGCCTCTTTGGCCCTTCGCCGGACGTCAACTCAGAGTCGAAACGCAGCCTGAACTCGGACACGTTGTGACCCCACTTCCTCTGAAACCAGCTGTCTGCAGGAAGGAAGGATAACATGGCGAACAGAAACTGACTCTTTATTGTAGATTCTAGGTTTTGTGCATGTGTTGTTATGTCTCACCATCCAGCAGGTATCGGGCGCTCAGGTGTATGTTGATGCTGGAGTGGAGGCCGGAGATGAGGCGGTAGAAAGCCCTCTTCTCCACACACTGACCTGAGAGACGAACACAAACAAAGCTGACGAAACTCTGCAAAAACACTCCACAGCATGTTCAGGTGAAACGTCAGCTCACCTTCCAACCAGCTGTAGAAGCTCTTTGCTGTAAGTAGACACAGAGCGGTTAGAAACATAGAAAGAAAATGAAAGTGAAGCTCATCGTGATGCGACGTGACGTGGTGGACTTCCTACCCTCACCTCCGGAGCTGCTCTGGAACGAGTTGGGAATCAGCGGTCGCTTGATAGAAAAGGGTCTTTGAAAGGATGGAAAGGTTTTATTTAGAAGTCTGCTTCACTCATCATCAATTATTTGTTTCTCAGACTCGCTTTTGTTCCACATCGTGAGATCAGTTCGAATAACTTTAGTCTTCTTCTGACTTTTTATTAGACCACAATCAGGTCAACATACGCTGACATTTAGCTCATTGTTGCACCTTCACATGTTTAAGGGAGGACCATCCTTACACTGGACACACAAAAACAGTTAAAATATCACTAAACGTCAGGTGTGCTGTGTTTACTTGAAGCAGTTCTCCTCGTAGATGCTGTTCCAGATCTGCCAGGCCTCTGGTCCTTTGTAACCCGTGAAGCGTTCGGGGTTCAGCAGCAGGTCGACGTACTGGGAGTCTGGTGACTCTTCGTCTGGGAAACAGCAGCACATGTAACATCCTCTTTCAGTCATTAGTAACATCCCTGTTTAGTCACAGAGTTCACTGATTACTTTTAAGGCCTCTTTAGCAATGTCTCTGACTTCTTAGCACCAAACTAACTTTACCGTCAACCACACAGAACCGCTCTGCTTCGTCGTCGTGTTTGCTCCATTTGAGAAGAGCCTCTCTGGTCTCGTTGCTGAAAACATAAAGAGCATCGTTTGGTTCAGTTTCAGCTGTTTGGCTCAACAAACGTCACTGTAAACGTCCAGAAGTTAAAACTGTCAGTATAAAATGTAGGAATTTGAACCTTCTAATGCTGATTTTGGTTTTAAAAAGTTGACTAATCTACACTTTTTATGCACCCACTTTTAACTACTTTCTAAAAAATTTGAGTTACTGAACCATGACTTCTAGAAATTCCTATATAATCTCCGGAAATGTAGAAAATGTGAAGTAAAGAAACTGTTCAAAGCACAGAGAACAAAGATCTACACAATACTTCAGTGTGACTTATTGGAAAAAAGTCCAGATATACAGAAAATACTGTAGAAAATGAATTAATTTAATTAATTTAAGATAAAATCAGTTGATAAAAGATAAAATGCTGGACAAAACTAACAGAGTGTCAAAATGAGGCTATTTATTGTTGTTTTTTATTCACAGCTGCTGCGACTGAACTGATTCCAGCTGCAAAAACACCCTTTCAGCACACAACACACTCTGTTAAGCATGAATTTAATTTAAGTGTTTATAAGTGTAAAAATATGTTGCTGTCTTTCACGGTCATACGGTCGTTTTATATTATTTTCATTAACAAGACTCACCTTAAAGAGACGTCCACAGCTCCCAGATGCTTCGCCTGCTCACACTCATCCGGCTGCTCGTTTGCTTCTGCTGAATACTGAACAAACACACAGACACGACACTAGAATCAAATCTGTACAGAAAAATCTAATCAAGATAAATCTGTTCCATCTTCATAGCACATTACGTATTCTAAAAGAATAAAACAAACTTTCCATACTTGTGTATAAAACTTATTACCATTTAACTGAAGAATTAAAACTTGTTTCAGGGACAAGCGCCTTAAAAAGTTTCAGTTTAGACCAAAGTGATGACAGTCTCCAGCTCTGAATTTGCTTTTTATTGTATATTTTACTTATAATACTTCTGTTGTTTTTACTTTACTTTAAGACTTTTCCATAAAATGTTTTTTTAATATGTATTATGCACCTCAAGCTTCCAGTTTGCATCAAGCGGATCGACTCACCTTGTTGTGGGAGGAGGATCGAATCCCTTCAGGCACCTCGTTCTATTAGCAGAAAGAGTTTTAATCAGCCTGATGTGAATTATATTCATTAACACATACAATCTCTATTTAGATGTGTTTTCTGGACAATAAGATTCAATCTGTGTGTCTCTGCATTTACACCTGCTGCTAAAACATGAGCTCTGTATCTTAATTTAGCCCACAATTTGATTTAAATCTGTAAACTTGAGACACAAGAAGTTGTCCAGGGAAAGATTTCATGTTCATAGCAGGTTTAAATGGGCTACTGGTGCAGTTAAATCAGACTCAGGTTGTGTAAATGCAGATTCTTACAGATATCCAGCTGAATCTGTGCTAACAGCAGGTTTAAATGGGGTTAAATGTTTGTTTACAGCTAGTTCTAGTTTGACTGATGTGAATTATATCCAATTTACACATATAATCTGTGTCTGGAGACGTAGTCTGTGTGTCTCTGCATTTACACGTGAAGGTAAAACATGATCTCTGTATCTTAATTTAACCCACAATTTGATTTAAATCTGTAAACTTGAGACACAAGAAGTTGTCCAGGGAAAGATTTCATGTTAATAACAGGGTTAAATGGGCTACTGGTGCAGTTAAATCAGCTCAGGTTGTGTAAATGCAGATTCTCACAGACATCCAGGTGAATCGGTGCTAACAGCAGGTTTAAATGGGGTTTAAAGGGTTTTTCCCAGCAGGTAGATCAAACTCACATCAGAGCAGGGCTTCACGGCACAATCCCTCAGACCGCAGTGACTGGTGACGGTCCAGAACGGACACGGTTTGTTGAGGTTCACCTGCAGAGGATCAGGACAACAACGTCCTTTAACAAACACGCCTGCTTGTCTGCGTTTTGAGTCGTCGGTGGGTTTAACTCACCTTGTAGAACCGGAAGTAATCAGACTCCAGAAGAGTTTGAAGTTTGGGGAAAAGCTGGTCGTTGTTGAATCCGTCAACGGTTTCCACGTCGCAGGTGCAGTCGTCCAGGTCGCCTGTTAACTGAGTTAGAAAAAAAAACACAAACAGCTGCTTATCTGCTGCCTGTTTGTTCCTGAGAAACTTCAGTCTAACAGTCAGGGGTTTAGGAAAATTAATAAAGAGAAGATAAAGACTGATTTATTGGAATGATTTGCTGTCTAATAATAAATGAACTGCTATTTATTTCTTTGATTTTTTTCATCAGCAAACACTTAATTATTGTTAGACAGGATACTTGGACTTATTGTTATCCGACAGAAACAGGTTCAGCTGATCAATATTGTGGGATCAATACTTTGATATTTACAAGCTGCTCAACTGGTTTAGATTCCTATAAAATATTATCAATAATCATATGAGTAGAAATCGTGGGTCACTTCCACATGCTTTAAGTACCTTTGAGTGAAGTTTGTGCCAAAACAGTCCTGATATTATTGAAACCAGAAGTTCACCAAATAAAAAGACGTAAAACCTTTTTTTTTGTCTCACTGTCTGACATTAATCAGACTAAACGTTTCCTGTTTTAGATCAATTAGGATTACCAAAATTATTTCTATTTGCTAAACGCCAGAATAATGAGAAAGAGAATTTTTCATTACGACACAAATGTAAAATTAAAAAAGGTTTTTGTTTTTTAATACAGTGCATTTAAACTTCTGGTTTCAACTGTGTATGACTTGCTTGCTTGTGCCAGATACTGCTAAAAACAAATAAAGGCAGTGCCTAAACAATAGAAAAGCATTAAGATATACTCAACTCAACTCAAACTTTATTTATAGAGCACATTTAAAACAACCGAGGTTGACCAAAGTGCTGTACAGAATGAAAGCAGCATGGAACAACAATTTAATAAATAAAATAAATACTAAAAAACAAAAAATAAAAAATAAAATAACATAGAATACTAAAATACATATACATATAACACATGACAAATACAGACATGATAAAATCAGTAAACTAAAATAAGGCTAAATAGCAAACTAAAGTAATGCTGGCAATTCTACTGAGGTCATCAGTAACATCACATCTCATGATGAAGTGCTGCAGATAAAAATGAAATGTTAGAGAAGTTACTGACACTGATATTGATCAGATGTTTAGCTGTTCAACACAACAGGACAAAGTCAAACACAGTGAGGAAGCAGTTAGTGAGGACAGCACAGAGTGAAGCAGCTCACCTGACAGAAACACCTGCCGTGTGCAGCCCTGAACACCTGGAGGAGGAAGAGGAGGAGGAGGAGGAAGACCAGCTTCATGTCGAGATCTGCTGTTTCCTCAGAGCTCGGATTAAAACCTGAACCTCACTGAACTTCTCTAAACCAGCAGAAACTTTGAACTAAACCAGCAGTAAAACCAGTAAACCAGCAGCAGGAACTGTTAACTTAAACTGGACCTTGGTCCTCGGACCCTAACTAGCAGCAGGATCTGTTGACCTGAAGCAGCAGCAGTAACAGGAGCAGGTCGGTGTGCAGCGCTGATGTGAGCGCTGCTTCCTGTATTGTGCTCGTTTACAATCAGCGACGTGAGAGACGTGACGATCAGCTGCAGCGATCACACGCTGCCTCCCTCACATCACCGCCCACTGGTCACCGCTTAAAGATGTAATCAAACCTGCATTTACATTTTATTTTATTTATTTTATTTTTATTGCAGCTGCGGTTTCCTTTCTGGTCGCTCACCAAACAACTGAAACTGAAACTTAGAGCAAGTCCAAATTCATTTACTGTCTTCATTTATGTAGTCTGCTCCAACAGAAAAAGGGAAATAGACACTCACAAATGCATATTAAATCTTTCTTTTTTTTTCCCAAATATTTTTTATAGATTGGGACAAAGTTGTTTTACGAATTATTAAAATCTTTTAAAAGGAAAAATCTATATTGCCTTTTTGATAAAACGTTAAGCATTAAACCTCCCAACGTGGTGATGATTCAGCTCAGAGCAGTTTAAAATCTTTTTTTATTGTGTTTCTATGTTTATATGGAGGTCAGGTTAAAGTGGGGAACTTCTCTGAAAACGTAACAGCAACAATCAGCCACACGGTGGCGCTAAAGGACGCTCATTTATTTAAAAGGAGTTAAAATTCTACTACTAATACTACTATGATAGTAATAACTTCTTCGTTTTGCACATTTGGAAAACGCTGTCAGAAAGAATTTTACAGTAAAACAAAAGTTTAATTAGACAAATAATAAAAACAATAAACAAAATACATCCCAACATGCAACAAGATCAAACAGTTGAGTCAAGCAATACTAGAATTCTTTGATAGCATTAGTTACTTTAAGATTTAAATTTTAGATATATATGTATTTTATTCATAATTTATCAATGTATTCTTGTTCTTATTCTTATATTTTATGGACTTCACATGTTGACAATCTTACAAATTTTAAACTGAGAATCCAACAAATCCAAAGTTCCAGATTTTCTCATATACAAAGGAAGAAGAAAAAGAAGACAACACAAACAAACAAACAAATAAACAAAAGGAATTAATGAAGAAAAAAATTCACGAGGGGTTTTCACTGGAGGGTTCAACTGATTAAAAGATATAATATTCTGCATTATTCTGATCATTGGGGTCATTATTTCTCTTAACTGATCCCAGATATAATGTGCTTATTCAAACATGTGCTTTAACAACTTTACAGGACATTGTTGTTTTTTTGTATTTACATTCTTATCTGATTCGTCAGTAGGCTGGTTCCATTGATGTTTTATGGACCACAAAGACTTGACAGCTGCTGACCGGCAGCTGCAACTTTCTAAATCACAAAACACGACAGTTTGTGAAGAATAGAATAGAATAGAATAGAATAGAATAGAATAGAATAGAATAGAATAGAATAGAATAGAATAGAATAGAATAGAAATACTTTATTTATCACAGACCTGGGAAATTATTTCGATACAGCAGCAAAAAAGAAAACACAGTGCTCAATATTATTTTTATTTGACCAAGTTGTTTTAGAAAATATCTGAAACTTTAATCCCTAAATTAATTCTTAAGAATTTTGCAGTGAACAGAAGCAGGAAGAACTGAAGGCAAACATACTGGTAATAATACATGTAGTCATTGTAATCGTGTTTTATAATACAAGTAACACGACATGAAGGGTTGTGGGAAACACTCTGAATATGTTCCGCTCAATGGAACATTCCAAAATATATTCCTGTAATGGTTTCACAAAACAACCTTCAAGGAACATTTGGGGACTGTTCCCAGAAGATTCTCTGAAGGTCCTCTTAAAGTTTTACAAAGTTTGTTATAGTTTCTTGAAGGTTCTCTGAAAGTTTTATTAGAAACCATTTGAGAACAATCTGGGGACGTTTTCTGAAGGGCCGTCTTGAGGTTTTATGTAATACCTTTTAAAGAACGTTCAAGGGCTGTTCTTTAAAGTTTTGCTGAAGTTTTTCTATTGGTCCTGCTAAGTTTCCATAAAATAACTTTCAGGGAACATTCTAGGCTACTCAAAGGTCCGCTGGAGTTTCACAACCTTCAGGTAACGTTCTCAGAAGTTTTCTTCATGGTTCTCTAAAGGTTCTCTTAAGGGTTCTTATAAAAATAACTTTCAGGGAGCATTCTGGGCCTGTTAGCTGAAGGTTCTCTTAAGGTTTCAAAAATAACCTTCAGGTCAAAATCTGTATTGTTACAAATACCAGTTTGCTCTTTTATCAGTGGGCTGTAAATGACACAGTTTGACTGTATTTGAATCTGCAAAGAATGAATTATTTAACTTTTTTTTTCTTCACAGTTTTGTTGTTGTTGGTTTTGTTTGGGAGTTTCTTGTATTGTTTGTATTGTTTTTGAATATTACATTATTACCTCATTTTAAAAGTATTTTTCTGGCACCCTTACTGAAAGATTTTCACATTTTTGAAAAGCATTTTTTTTTAAAAATAGTTTTTGTTTTTCAGTGCCATGTGGACTATAAGTATGAGAAACTGGAAATACTTCAGTAAAGTAGCTGAGAGCTGGATCCAAGGTTGATGTCAGATAAATGTAGTCAAGTAAAAAGTACAACTTTTCCCTCAGAGGTGTAGTGAAACAAAGTGTCGGCACTTCGGAGCAGTACTTGAGTAAAGGTATCCGTTCCTCTCCCCTCCACAGCTTCAACTCTTCTCCTAAACTTTGCTTTCTCCACTTTCTTGCAGTTTGGTCGCGGCTCGCGCCCCTCTACTCTCTATTTTGGTGCTTCCTCGCGCTGCCAAGCCGCTGACGTAATGCTCTGTTAATGATTAGCGGGTGGAAACAGCAGCGCGACCAAACTGCGTAAAGACGCCACTGCGCAGCATGAAGGTAACCACAGCAACCTTCACAATAAAACTCTGCTGCAGAGAGACTGAACTGATGACTTCTACTCTAACACTGTATTTTAATTTATTGTGGGTTACTTGAGAAATTTGCATCTACTGCTACTTTCTACATGTATTCTACTATATTATACCAAATGACTTTAGATAGAGTCCTTCTTCAGTCATTGATTTAACCCCTAAAAATGCAGGGTTACAGATTTAGATTTTCCTGTGAATATAATCCCTTCATGCATTAAAACATCTAAAGTTTAGAGTGTTGGTTTTGCTGTCATTGCACAGCCAATGATAAAATCAAGAAGCAATTATGTAGGTGCATTCACACAATCAGACAAAAGTTTAAAAACAGTAAAATAGGAAATGTGCAAATATAAAAATAACGATTAAGAACAAACAAACAAACAACAACAACAACAAAAAAAGTAGGCCAAAATTGTAAATTATGTCCACATCAAAAATCTATATTTTCACTGTTGGTCATTTGTTTATTTAATTTAATTAATATTTAATTTGTAATTGTATTTATTTTATTTTTTAAACTTTATTTAAATGATCTATTTTTAACTTAACTATATTTAAAGTAGCAAAAATATTATTTTACAGATACACTACATTATTTTCAAAGAAAAAACCTGAATAATAAAAGTTGAAAAAAATGGAAAAACTATTAGTTTAAGTTATTTTACAGATTTTCCCTGTTTTGATAAACTGCAGATAGTAAAGTCTCTGTTAATAATCACCATCACTATTATTATTATACTATTTTACATGACTGAAACAACAACAACAACAAAACAGCCCCAAATGGTTCATAGTAAGTAAATCAAAAATATAATATGTTTTCATTCTGTACTGGAAAGCACTTTGGCACAAAGAAAGCTGCTTTTGTTTTTTTCTTTAAACTTAAAGGGCAGTTAAAATATTATTCACAATTTTGTCACTTCACAAATTTCCCACCAATTTAAAAGACGAAACTGCTAACTTTAGGTTTACCTCTGTAAATTAAACACTCACCCTAAAGTTAGAAACAGTTGTTTACAACTGAGAGAAAATGAAGCATTAATTCTGTAATTTTATCTTAGATTTGTTTGTTAAATGGGAAACATGTTGAATGGTAAGTTTTACGTATATAATCTATCTATCTATCTATCTATCTATCTATCTATCTATCTATCTATCTATCTATCTATCTATCATTGTTTTTACACATGTCAACATTAAAAAGAGAAAAGGCTATAAAATGTATTTTAATCGTGAGAAGTTGCGTTTCCACAATTTGAATATCAGTTCTGGTGATGAACTGTTAGAATATTAACTTTACTTTTACTGTGCAGCCTTTATTTTGAAAGCCGTGACCGGAGCCGGCTGCTGGTGCTCCTCCCGGTTTTACCTCGGTGTTTTAGAGCAGAGCAGCCCGTCTGCTGGGAGAGAGACGGAGGAAAAGTTAGTCAAGATGGCAAATCCCACAGACCCGGAGTGAAGGGGCACCGCTCCCCGAAAAGCTGAGCCTGTCGCCCGTCCTGAGACAAACCCAGCGATGCTAACTGCGCCGGTGAGTCCGCTGCTACCAGCCGTCCTCCTCACAATTCAAATATCCGAACCGAACTTTACCGCTAAACGGGCTTTTCGCTGTTTTCCAACTCACATTTTTTTGCCTCCAAGAAAAATACTAATCTATGAGAGCCGGTGTATTGATGAAAATTACACATTTTGACCAGTTTCGAGTTCAGGGCAGCGGTACCGCGGGTCCACACTGAGCCGCTCTGCTAACGGGCTCCAAGTGTAATTTTTTTTGCTAACGGTAACTTAAAGTTGCTGCACGTTTCTTCCATTGGAAAGTTCTAGATGGCTAAAAAGCTTAAAATACGTGTGTGTTTTTTTAGTTTCCTCTTTACAAACTGCTCTCAGCCACTCTCGTGTCTGCCAGCGGTCATTTCAGTGTGTGCTGATGAAGCAAAGTGACAGTTTTAGACAGCGGCTAACGCTCAGCCCCCGAGCCCGGAGTCTGCTCACTCTTCGGCGGGTTCTCCGGTTGAAACTCACCGCTGCAGCCCTGAGCTCGTTTTTTTTTTTTTTTTTTTAAATACTGCAGACTATCCTGTCATTAAAATAACGGCTGCTAACGTCTGTACGGCTCCGTCGGTAGCCCGGCGTCCTTTTGGAAAATTCCGGGATGCAGCGCCAGTACTACCGACAGCTGTATTTTTAGGAATGGGTGGATACCAAAAGCGAAAATTATTTATTTTTGTCTCGGCGGTGAATGCCACAAGCCTATGCGCATAGGCGACGGCGAGGAGGCGACCTATAAATGCATGTATGAGTTTTTTTGGAGGCTGTTTTCTTCTGAACTGCCCCATTGCAGCAGCACAAAGTCTGCAGAGCTGAAGCAACAGGGACACTGTCGCATTTCTACTGAAAGTCAGTGCATATGTATATAAAAAAGGGAGGCATTGTCTGTAAAATATGCTCTTTTTTTTATGCCCCCCTCCCTCCTTCAACTAACATCTGACATCCTCCTGCAGGCCTAAGAGGGATTCCCTGAAGAAAAATGCCAGTGAGGCTGAAGCTGATGTGACACAGCTTGTGCTGGAAGAAAGCTGACTCATCAAATATCAATCCCTCTGAGAGGGACTAAGCAGCCGAGAGCAGCTCATATCACCTAATGCCTTGCTAGAAGAGAAGAGCACCTCACGCCCCCCTCGAGATTATCAGACAAGGAGAAGGCGGTGCAGAAACCCCTCCAGCAGGAATATATCCAACATCAGCTGTGGGTGAAACACATTTTTGGCATCAGCCTGACAGAGACTGCTGTCCTGCTGTCCCAACTAATAATGACACAGCTAAGAATACAGCGCTTCAGCTGAACTTCACTGACAGACCTCCCTCGCCACGTGTGCCAACTACCACCCTTCATTAATTTAACCTAAACCTTCGGTGTAAAGCTAAGTGAGGGCTTCACTCCCTGCGCCTCCCAGCCCAGCCCGGCACCGCCACAGTCAGCCCGCCTCCATCCCGCCTCGCAGACCATGATGTTTCGTGATCAGGTGGGCGTGCTAGCCAGCTGGTTCAAGGGGTGGAACGAGTGCGAGCAGACGGTGGCTCTGCTGTCCCTGCTGAAGAGGGTGAGCCGGACCCAGGCCCGCTTCCTGCAGCTCTGTCTGGAGCACTCCCTGGCCGAGTGCACCGAGCTGCAGGTCCTGGAGGGAGAGGCCAACAATCCAGGTAGGACAACCAGCTGCTCAGACACTGTCACCTGCTGCATAATCCACTGAGACCTAATTAAGATGCGTTTACAGGCAGTAATTTATTCCTCAGACTATATTTTTTTCCTTTAACAGCCTCATTCTGGTGTTGTTATAAAGGCAATGGACTATAAAAGGATGAATTTACACTTCATCTCAGAAAATAAACACTCAATTTGTACCTCCTTAGATTCAGTTTAACATATTTCCCACTGCTGGGACTTGGCAACAGTTGTCCTCAACCAATACATCTTCTGCAGATTTCATGATACTCATTGTTGCAGCAACAGTTAGCGTCACATTACTTCTGCCTCCGGGCTGCACACTCATCTGAAAGAGGCACAGTAGTCAGTAATTCACAAATCTTACTACTTTTTTTTTTCCCTCTTCTCAATGGCATGTTTTTCCCAGAGGCACTGTAGTCGCTGACCCTGGAACAAACACACAGGAAAACACACTTAGAGGCACCACGCGAGCATTAGAAGACATTTCCTGTCTGAGACATTCCTGTAGATCCATCAAGAGTAATAAATAGCTGAATCATTGATGGTATGAAACTGCGCAAAGTGTTGTGCTGAACTCCAGCCAGTCAGTGAATGATTGTTGGAAGGAGGTTGGGGTCGTGTATAGCGTTAGCTCAGCTGGTAGCGGGGCTGGTTGGAGACGTCAGTCAGCGTGCCAGGCTATAGCGCTGTGTCGCTCCCTCGGCTGGTATCGTGCCAGAGCACCCAAGGGGGGTTCTGGCTGGGTTTTGTTGCATCAGACTGCAGCGTGGCCATGGAAACAAAAACCCTGGCAACCGACTGGGCTCATGAAAAATAGAATGAAGTGCTGCTGCTGCGATGGAGAGCAAGCGCTTCGGCGTACCTATGGCAACATCTGCATGCAGTAACACATCTGCTTGCTTACACTGGGGTGACATAATGGCCCTGCCCTGCAGCGACAGTCACATATTACATGGAGTTTCCATCAGGGTTTACAATGGGCAGTGGCTGCAGTTAATACAAGCTGCTCTTTGTTGTTGTTAGATAAAACTGGAGACATCAAAGCACACTATATGAAATTTCCTCAGCCGACCTTTCCCAAAGTCAGGATTGTTCATACTGTGGGAGATCAAAGCAGCCTGAAGATATGGGGAGGCACTGGAGGGGGGTGATGTCTTCTTACTCAACAACAGGTTTTCTTCTCTCTCTGTCTGTTCACAATCCACTGCCTCTTGTGTGAATCAGTGAGACTCTGTCTTAAGATCTTTGTGGTGATACTTAAATTAGTCATATTTCTCTCCCATACCCTGTGTGAGTCTTCAGTTCCCAGCTAACAAGACTGATTTATGATCCATAAATGCACCTGTGTTTGTGACTTTAGTCCTTTAATACCTGTGTGACAAGTTAGCTCAAAGACTTTACTTTCTCCGTAGACTTTAGTGTTAGTACAAAGATCATTGTGATATTCTATAATGCTGTAATGGAGTCTTCTCAGGTATGACATGGCAGTTTTGGTACAGTGCTCTCAACATTTAGTCAAAATCTGAACTAATTCTGAAAGTGATTGGAACGATGTAACACCCATCTCTCGACACCGTCTATGAAAAAGCTGTTGTAAAACATCCACAGAGGATCCTGACACACATCAGGAGCCCTCACACATTTTATTTTCAGATTATGACCTTCAATTAGATGCTACAGAACCTGCAGATACAACAGCAATCGTATTAAACTGTCTTTTATTTCTGCTTCTACCACACTGCTCAGTCTGAACTCTTGAGGGGTCTGGCCACATATTTGATTGACATAGTTTGTCTCTGGATCTCTGTTTCTTTTCTGTCTCAAAATGCGATGGGATGTTCCTGTAGGTCCAGAACGTACAAAGATTTTTGCAAATGTGTGACGTATATTATGCTTTAGATGGTTAGGTTTCACATATGGTTCTACATATACGGCTTTCTCTGTACGTTGCTGTTTTGTTCTGCCACTGTGCTGTCTGTTGTTGCACAGAGCTCCATTTGCACCACTGCCCTATTTCCCTTTGGGGACACTAAATTATATCTTATGTTTGTGTAAAATAACAAGACGGCTTCACTTGTAGCTGTGGTTGTTATTTGGTGATTCCTTTACATAATTCTGTTTTTAACCGGTTATCCCTAACTTGCTTTGCTGTAAATCATGTTTGTTGAAGCACCTTATTCCAAACACACTATATGAAATGAAATGAAATGAAAAATACTTTATTCATCCCAGAAGGGAAATTCAATATGCGTTTTATACAGTTGATTCAGTGCCTCAGAATGAGTTTAAATCAGCATTAGGACTTGAGTTATGCTTTTTAATAACCTTAACTTAGGCGGCACCAAAGCTTTCACTAAACACAATGGCCTGAGGACAGTTAAGTCATTGAGAAATTAGCAGTCCAGGCTTTGTGCCCTTTAACAGACTGATGACTACCAGCACTCTCTGTGTGTGTCATTAGGTCAGGGATTTACAAAGTGAGGCAACCCGGTAGTTTGCAATCACTCACTACATTTACCTAAACGCTAGGACTTAAACTCGCTTACTACCACACTGACTCTTTGATGTGGTCAGTTCAGGTAAGACCGTAATCACAGTGAGGATAGACACTGATCAGCCACAACAGTAAAACAACCGGCCCAATATTCTGTAGGCTCCCTTCATGCTGCCAAAACAGCGCTAACTTGTGAGGGCGTGGACACGGGATCATTTAGTGTCCTGTGGTAGGAAATTGGCAGCAGATCATTTGGGTCCTGTGGGTTGCTGGGTGAGGCCTCCATGGATCCGGCTTGTTCCGAGGCACCCCGTGGAGTTTAAGAGTAGGTTTTGGAGAGTTTGGGGGTTCGTTGTCGTGTTCCTCGAGCTGTGTCTGAGCAGCTTCAACAGTGTAACCGGTGAGTTGTCCTGCTGTGGCCGGTTGATACATGTCAAAGTAACTTACACGTGAATGCCGCAACCCACGGTTTCCCAGGAAAACACTGCACCATAAGAAGATGATGATGAATGTTCTTCACTTCATCTGTCTGTGGTTTCAGTGTGGTGGCTGATGGGCGCACATGTCAACACACCTGGATTTCCTTTCAATCTGTCCATTTGTTGGAACAGGTTGAACTTCTTTTTTCTGTCTGTGCTCATCACAGGTCAAGATGCAGTTTCAAAGGTACAAAGCAACATAATGCAGTAGAATATTCAAGAAGCTGTTTTTATTATGATAACAGTTTGGGGAAAATGTCTAATTATGGTGGGATTTGTGATGTTTTTTATTTAAAGCTGAGCTTCAGCTCAGTGTTCACTGTGCTGTAGATTTAAAACATGTGATGCAGCATTACCACATGAGGCACCATCTGAAGTGTGACTGTCACACAAGGAGGAAGGCATACATTTGTAAAACCACTGACACAACAGTTTAAGCTATGGGTCAGACAAGCTGCAGAATGTGTGGCTCATAAACAATGTGACTGGGCTTATATCCGTCAAACCACAGTGTGCATGACTGAACCACGCAGTATACAATAATTAATGAGGATAAACAACCCCGTAAAGTTTCAATCTGCGCAAATTAAATAAAATTAAATAACAGGATTTGTGTCATTATTGAGTAGTCCCTTTGTCTATTCTAAATGTGGAAATTATTTACAATTTTGGCCTTTTTTTACAGTCAACTTGTAATTTTTTTTTGTGATTTTGTGTGTGTTAGTAGATATTATCTGTAGTTTAACAAAATGGAGAAAATCTCTAAAATTAAAGTTTAAAGAACTGCTTTTTTTCCTTCGAATGGAAGACACCTACCAACTGAATACCTGTTAAAAAAAAAAAAAGAAAAGCTTCTTTTTGTGATTTAAGTACATTAAAAAAAAGTCAAATGTTGTAAAGGAACAAGTGACCATTTAAAAAAAATACATAGTTTTTCTGTGAATGTTATTTACAGCTTTTTTTTCTTTTTTTGTTGTTGTTTTTAAAGTAAGCATGTACATTATTACCTTTCTGTTGTGATTTTACCAGTTATTATCCATTATTTCACAAAACTGGGAAGATCTATAGAATAACAGTAAATCGTAAAAAAAAAAAAAATGCTAAAAGATGTTTGTAAAAAAAAGCAGCCAGAGCTCTGTCAAATAACTGTGTGAATGTTTTGATTTATAAATCCAGTAGATGTCAGCTCCATTTATTCTGTGCATCAACCTCTGGCCCAGTGGAGCCTCAAAATGTTTTAATGAGCTTCCACCTCCTGTACCTCCGGAGTGAATTTTGGGCCACGCCCTTCAGTTTCCTCCCACCTGTGTCAGCTTGTGGTCGCTTCCCCTCCGCTGATTCAGCTAAGTAAGATGGAATCAGTGGTCCGTTTTCAACTCTGCAGACCTAACGTCAGAACACATGCTGTTGAAAAGAGGGAGAACGAGAAGGTTGTCTGGTTACGTGATCCCTCTGGTATGTTGTGGTAGCTTGTTTGAGTGCTTATGTGCGAGGGTAAGGCTGATAGATCAGTTTGCTGTTTCACTGGGCCAGCTTTGTATTGATTTGCCAGTTTTTAAGTTATTTCCTCCTGCAGCTATACAAGGAAGCACATGAAGCCTAAAAAAGCAGCGTATTCATTTTTGGTTTTTGTTCCTGCAGATGCTTTGTTAGTCTTTCTTGGCACATTTCTAAAAGCCCAGAGGAAAATGTTGTTTAGTTGTCTTGGAAAGCTTCATTAGACGCCTGGACGCATCCCAAAGACTCTAGATATTGTGGCTCACCTTTCTTCAAAAAGCTGCTGTCTTGGAAAAATGTCAATGGCTCTTTCCCAATAATATAAATATAACACTGAATACTTGTATTTTTGGAGTAAAAACAATCAATTTGAAATGTTTAAATGTTACTGGCAGTGTAGGTTTAAATACAGCTAACACAATTCAGCGAGTCACCCGAGTAAAAACTTCTACTTTAAATTGTTATTCATGCAAGCAGTGTTGGTTTAAGAATAAAAAGACAAGTT